GGTCCTCACAACAACTCTGAAAGGTAGGTGTTTTTATTATGCCCATTTTGCAGATAAAGAAACTGAGGCACATGGGGTCATGTTGCTATTTTCTGAGGCACAATTAGACTTACATCATTCTGACTCCAGTCCTGGCACTGTCTCTCACTGCACCACCTAGCTGCCACATGTCATAATACACATATAATAAAATTAAAAGTATACTTGATAGGGAGATGGGAATAAAGGTTAGACATTAAATAATGAGACAGTCAGAGAACAAGTCATAGAAACAGTAAGCATTTGGGTGAGAAAGGAGTTCCAGACTTGTGACTGTATAGGTACCGCTGTATAGGGAACTCTGTCAGCAACTTAAGGTCTTTGAGAGTTGCCTGAGGCACGGAGAAGTTGTGATTTGCCCAGGATCACTCAGCTGACCTGAGATGGTAGAGCTGGAAAGGGGCCTTGGAGATCATCTAGATACTCCAACCCCCTCATTTTACAGTTGGAGAAACTGGGGCTAAGAGAGAAGTGAGTCACATAAGGGTCATCCGAAAGTTAGGAAGAGAGAGGGAGGGGATCATAACTTCTATTCCAGTGCTCTTTCTTTACTGGAATTTATCTAAAAATCAGTCTGTCCAAAAGCACTTGTGGAGAACCCGCTCCATGACAGAGCCTCTAATTTACCACCCAAGGTCGGCTGCTGCCTCCTATCACACACACTGCTCACTGCATTGGAGCTGTGGTTTCCTAAATAGGAGCGAATGTTCCTTCCTCCAGTACCGTGTACACGGCGCTTCCCACCCAGGCACGTGCCCTTCAGTGCTGCTGTGGCCAAAACATTTAGCACCTTCTTCCCAACTTTCTCTTGATGAGCCTCTTCAGAAGGAACCAGGCTGGTCCTTGAATAATAAATTCAGACCATCATCAAGACTGTACTTAAGTTTTGTTTTTTTTTTATTCAAAATTTACTTTAACATTTTTATCTTACTTTCTATCTTACTACCAAAGAGAACTAGGTTTACTGAAGTAGGCCGGACTCCTGGCAGAGTGCCTTGCCCAGAATGGGTATTTTGTAAATGTTTATTCAAGTCTAGTGAACTGATAAACTACCAGAGCTTGTTGGCCACTCTTAAAGGCTGGCAACTTTGAAGAGCCCAAAATTACCTGGACACCATGATGAAGCCTTGATTCCCTTGCAAATAAAATCTCTTCCCTGCCTTTTGTGCAAATTCTTCCAAACCCAGCACTATATAAAAACCTAGGGCCCTGGCTCTGTCACTTACCTGACTTTGGAAGTCATCTTACATCTTCAAACTTCAGTTTAACTTTCTATAGAATGGGGACCATCATATTCTCTTTAGCAAGTGTGCAGCTGCTGTTGTAGAGCTCCAATTATCTATTGGGTGTCCCCAAAGTCTTAGTGCAGTTTTAAGTTGTTAAAGCTTACTACTGCACTTGGACTTTGGAGACACCTGCTATGAAGACCTTTATAAAAAAATAAAGTGCTGTCTACATGCAGACTGCATATAGAGATTCTAACAGAGGCATCAGGGCATAGCAGACAGAGTGCTAGACTTAGAGACAGGATCGGGGTTCTAATCCTTCTTCAGACACTTCCTTTGCAGTGTGACTCACCCTGGGAAGATTCAGTCTCTGTGCTTCAGTTTCCTTATCTGTAAAATGAGGGGTTTGGACCCAGTGTAGTCTGTGATCCAGTGATCCATGATCCTACTCCTCTTCCCGGAGAAGCGAGAAACTTTCTTTTTCAGAAAGGAAAAATTCCTAAAGCAGCAGTTCATTTGTCCTCATTTTGTAATTTTTTTTTTTGTAAATATATCAGTGACAGTGAAACTGAATGTCAATGGAGCATGCCCAGGCCATGGCACCTTAATTGTTGTGGAAAAGCATAGAAAGGGCACCATCTGCTGGAGCATCCTGGGTGTTGCCTCTGATGGAGTTCAGGTTCCCCTGGAGACTCCTGATGACATCCCGAGTTAGAGAATGCTACAAGTGCTACAGCGAGGAGGAATCTGTAGACAATGAAGCAATGTAGACAACACCCGAAGACCCGAGTTTTCATCTGGCTTATGCTCCGTGGCCTCAGGCACGGTATTTTCCCTTTCTGGGTTTTCCTTGAATTAATTGTCCAGCTATATTAGGTTCTTCTTCTTCCAACTTCCTATAGGTTTTTGCTGTCTGTACCACAAATTGTGGACTGAGCAAATAGCTAACATTCTATTTTTGTACATGTACCTATGTGTATACACATACATTTATATTGCTTTATAATAATAAAGCTCGTTCACATTCATCATCAGACATGAGACAGGGGAGGTGGGATGCTCCTTGCTCCCCGTTGCTCGTTCCAGGCTCACCTTCTGCCACCATCAGCCGGCAACTGCTCTTCCTTTGAGGTTCACTCAATCTATGCCTACCACAAAATCACAATTCTTGTAGTTGTTGCCTACCAACCTCTGGGACACGCCTGTTCTTTCCTTCATGAGTTCAGTGTCCGGATCACAGTCTTCCTTCTCCAATTCCTGCCTTCATACAAGGGGGCTTTGTACATATTGGTGCTCCCTCAGGCACCCTGTCCTCCAATCAGTTCTTCATTTGTTTCCCATAACCTCCTCCTCCACCCCACTGCAGCTATACACAGAACTGATCATACCCCAGACGTTGCCATCACCTACCGATGCACCATGAACTTCCACACTCATGAACTCTGACATGGTCTTATCTGATTATGGTCTGTTGTCATTCCACCGCTCCCTCCATTTTCCTAACGTGTAGGTCTGACCATGTCACCCCCTATTCAGTAAACTCTAGTGGCTACTTATAACCTCCAGGATCAAAGATAAAATCTTCAGTATGACATTCAAAGCCCTGAACAACTTGTTCCCTCCTACCTTTCCAGTCTTCTTACGTCCCCCCCCCCCCCCCCCCCAATGTATCCTGTGATCTGGTGACCCTGGCTTCCTCGCTGGTCCTCAAACAAGCCCTTCCATCTCCCAACTCTGGGCATTTTTTAATGGCTGTCCTCCTAGCCTGCAATGTTCCTATGCCTGGTTTCCTTCAGGTCTCAGCTAAAATCCCACCTTCTACAGAAAGCCTTTTACAACTCCTCTTAATTCTAGTGCCTTTCTTCTGTGAATTATTTCCAATTTGTTCTGTCTGTAGCTGTTGGTACATAGTTGTTTACATGTCGTCTCCCTCATTAGACTGTGAGCTCGTTGAGTGTATTACCGACACTTAGCACAATGCCTGGCACACAGCAGGTGCTTAACAAATGTTTAGTGACTGACTGATTGGCAGTGAACACAATTATTGTTCTCATTTTATGGGTGAAGAGACTAAAGTGAAGTGGCTTGCCTCAGGTTTGAGCCAGGACTCAAAATCAGGTCACTTGACTCAGAGCCCAGTGCTCTTCTCACTACGTCTGTTGACAAGATCTATGGGAAGATTATTCTAGCAAGTATTCAATTCAGCAAATACTCATCACAACAAACTTGGTGAGATGGATTGTTGAAGGGCAAGAGAGTGGAGGTGGGAGGGCTGTTGTAATACCTTGGGTGAGTGGTAATGAGGAAGTACGGGGGGGGGGGGGACAGAGGCAGATGTTTTGGAGGTGGCAGCCACAGTAACTTGGTAACTGATGAGGTGAGGTTTCGAACGTGGTGAACTAGGAAATGTTGTGGAGGGAGAGTCATGAGTCATGCTTCAGGCCATCTACAACAGGTGTCTCCATTGTCACTTGGCACATTCTCTTCTTAACCCCCTAAAATACAGCTTCTAGCCTCATCGTTCAACTGAAACAGCTCTCTTCAAATTTATTAATACTCTTTTAATTGCCAAATCTAATGGTCTTTTCTCAATCCTCATCCTTCTTGATCTCTCTGCAGCCTTTGACACTGTTGATCACCCTCCCCTCTTTTCTCTAGGTTTTCTTGTCACACTCTATCCTGGTTCTCCTCCTGTCTAGGAGACTGCTCCTTCTCAGTCTCCTTTGCTGGACCCCCAACCGTGCTCTCTAACTGTAGGGGCTCTGTCCTGGGCCTTCTTCTCTCTATATACTAATTCATCAGCCCCATGGATTTAATTATCATTGCTACGCTAATGATTCTCGGATCTACCTGTCCTGCCCTAACCTCTCTGCAGACCTACTTTCACATCTCTAAATGCATGTCCCATAGTCATCTTAAACTTAACATGTCCCAAACTGAACTCATTATCTTTCCCTTCAAATCTCCCCCCATCTTCTCTGTTACTGTCGAGGACAATAGCATGCTCGAAGTCCCTCAGGCTCACAATCTAGGAGTCATAGTCATCCTGGACTCCTCACTCTCTCTCACCTCCTTACATGCCATATCCAAGCTGTTGCCAAGGCTTGTCAATGTCACCTATGCAACATCTCTCAAATATGTCCCCTTGTGTAGACAGAAACATTTGCCTGGATAAAGAGTAAGACCACCCTTCTTAACTGACTATTCCTTTCAAAAGGTAAATCAGGGCTAGAGAGACAAATACAGCTTTCTAGAGGTAACAGTTGAAACTCTGAGTGTGCTAAGGGAGAGTGCACAGAGAAAAAAGCCAATGAAAGACTGTTGGAGAACATCCGTTTAATGGGTGTGGAAAGACTGCACTTTAATGTTTTTATTTCCCCATAGCACCTAGCAGAGCCTCATACACAGTAAAATCATAGAATCTCAAGAGCCAGGACCTCAATTGACCAGCAGTGCCAACACCCACCTGAAGTATCAATGTTCCCCTACAACACTGCCTTCAAGCTTTTGCTTGAAGACTCCAGTTATGGTGGACTTTGTACCTCCTGAGGCACACCATTCCACTCCAATAGCTTTAGCTATTAGGAAATTCATTGTTATGCAGCTGAAATACCCCTCCTTTTAATTTCTCTCTTGCTGATTCTAAGCCCAAAAAAGCATAAGATGCGTGCTCCCCTGGAGAGCAGTCATAAGCACACTGAGAATGCTCACCTACCTTCTTTCCTCTCTCCCCAGCCCTGCTCAGCAATGCAAGAGGCGTGATGGAGGTTGAATCCTCGTACACAGACTTCATCTCCTGTGACAGAACCGGCCGGAGAAATGCTGTCCCTGACATCCAGGACGACTCGGCAGCTGTGAGCATGAGGACGCTGACGGGGAACATGGGGGAGCTGGCACTCGGAGGAGCAGGCAAGTGTCCTCTAGGTGACAGGACAGAGCCCAGGAGTCAGGAAACTGTGGACCCCAAAGTGACCTTAGGACGTAGGCCATAAAAACTAGATGGGACCTCAGCACATAGAAGGTGAGACCTAGACGGAGCCTTAGAATGAAGAATGTAAATACCAGAACTGGAAATTTAGAACCTAAAATGTCACTTTATAGGACAGAGGTCATCTAGACCAGCCTTCTCATTTTAAAGAGTGGGGCACCGAGGTCCATAGCAGGGAAATGACTTGTTCAAGGTCATACAAAATAGACCCTCCTTTCCTTTGAATTAACTTAGGAATATTGTCCATCCTCTTACTTCAACCTTCTTTCTCTTTTCAGAAGGGCAGGCAGAGATAAGCGCATCAGACAAGGAAGCTGGTACCAGGCCTGAGGGGAGTGAGGGGACTACCACATCCTGAGAGCTGCCCCTGTCCCGTTCTCTTTGTCCAGTGGCTGAAGGAAGAAGCAAGCAGCCTGGGCTTCCCAAGAGGCAAACTTGGCAGCATTCTCCCCGAGGACCACTTCCCTCCTCCTACAGTAACCCTTCTGGGCACAATGAAGCCGTGTGGACCTTCCCAGACTTCCCTTTTCCTCTAGTCCACACCCCTTCACCACCACCACCCCCCCCACACACAGAGGAAGCCTGTGCTCAGGGCAGGTTTGCCCTGCTATGGGGACCTCAGACTGAGGCTAGCCTCCAGAGGTGCCTTAAAGAGCCCTACCCCAACCTAGGGAAACCCTGTGGTTTTGCCTACTGTGGACCTTCCCTTTTTCCAGGCCCATCTAGTCTACTGTATTTGGTAATTCAAAACATTATTTATTTGGTTTGCACCTGTGGGGTGGGAATGGGGAGGTACCATCTGCTCCTTTCCTCTGGAGGACAGATAGAAGCCAGGTCCCCTCCCACTTCCTCTTAGGGGAGACATCATCCGTGGCCTCATCCCTCACACCAACCCACTTAATCCACTTCATTAAATTTCCTGAGTGCCTCCTCTGAAGGAAGCAAAAAAGATGAATAAAACCTGTTTGCTGACCTTAGGGAGCACCCTATCCTCATGGCTGCTGAATGCTTCATCTGTGACCCTCAGGATCAAGAGAGAGATCCTTCCCAACCCATCTGAATTAGTTCCTTTTTACTCTTTTTAAACTTTTGACTTTAAATATTATCTACCTTGGGGGGGAGGCAGGTAAGGAGTTGGGGAAAAGACAGTGGAGATCTGCTTTTTATTTCCATGGAGAGGGGGTGGTGAGGAAGCATTGGCGGGGGGGATTTTAGTCTAAACTCTTTGACCTGTGTAGCTCAGAGAGAATGATTCCTGACCTTTTCCCAACCCATTCTTAAGGGAATCATTTTGTTTCCCAATTTTACTAAGTTGTGTCTCCTTTCTACAAAGATACTTGATGCCTACCACTTGGAAAATAAATTCAGATCTTTTGTGTGATTGATTTTCCTTTTCTCCCCGAAATACTAAATATTGTCTGTAAGTTGTATTGTCCTAAGACCCCCCCCCTTACAGAAACTTAAGCTCTGATCCCTCAAACTCCAGTGGAATTTAGAATGGCCAGGAAAATGCCAATAGTCCCATTGTTAGCAACTTGGAGTAATGGGAAGGATGCTGAGCTGGTAGTCAAGCCACCTGATAGGTATGATACACAGGTTTTTTAATTCAAACCCAGCTCACTTGATTCCCAGTTGAGCACTTTCTCACAGCAAAGGTGGCAGCCGGTGACACAGTACAGAACACCAGGCCTGGAGTTAGGAAGATGAGTTCAAATCCGCCCTCAGACACTTAGTAGCTCTGTGGCCCTGGGCAAGTCCCTTTACCTCTGTCTGCCTTAGTTTCCTCATCTGTAAAATGGGGTTCATAATAGCACCTACCTCCCAGGGTTGTTGTGAGGACCAAATGGAATAATATTTGTAAAGCTCTTACACAGTGCCTGGCACATAGGAAGCGCTATATAAATGCTTATTGTCTCCTCACCAAATCAGAGCTGCCTTATAGATAGCAGATGGGAAAATGCTTGGTCACTGTAAAACACTATGATAATTGCCAGGGTGTTTCCCTGAAAGTAGACACACACACACACACACACTCTCTCTCTCTCTCTCTCTCTCTCTCTGTCAAACCTCCCAGAATGCCCCATGGTGGTCACTGAAAGACCTCAGTGCTTTCTGCCCCCCGCAGTACCAAGTCGGCACACTGAAGAGAAGTAGGCAGTGATTCTGAGACACCATGTTCCCTTCAGGCCAAAAACTGAGCCCAGGTCTACAGAGCAGAGGGCCAGCACCAGGCTCACCTGCGGCCTTTCAGTGGGGCAAGAGCCAGGACACGTCTGCACAGCTGTGTCCTCCCACCCCAAAGGAACCACTGACACATTTCAATCTTGGACAAACTTAGCAGCACACAGACTGGATCGATTAGTTTATTGATTGAGCACCGCCACCCCCCCTCAGCACCCAGCAGGATCACTTCTTCAGAGGGGCCTCAGACTTGGCCCCTGGCAGTCGGTCATCTCAGTAGTTATTTTTAAATGATTTATAAGCAAAAGCCCTGAGTCTTGCGGGTGGTGAGCAGCCTGTACAAGACAAATGTCCCTGCACCGAGGTATCTTAATGCACAGCTGGCTATATGTACACTGGGAAAAGAGTTGATCTGCTAATCAATATTGCCCCATGAAAGAAAATAGGCAAGATTATAGCACTTCCACCCTACTGGGAAGGAAGCTCGAATCTGGTTCCTGAGTCATGGCATAGTGGCTACTGAGGCATTATGGGATCAGGAGTTTTTCCTGTCTTGCTCTGTCATGTTGGAGGCATCATCACTCTGACACTGTGGGTGAATCCAAAGAAGCCAGAGTTAGGAAGGTTTTATCACTCACCCAGGGCCTAAATTCATAGCCTGTCTCTACTATATACTACCTATATGTATGAACTTAGACATACCAGCACTTAACACAGAGCCTGGCACATAGTAGGCCCTTAATAAATGTTTATTGGTCGATTGAAAAGTCACTTCTCTATAGTCCTGGTTTCCTCATCTGTAACATGGGGGGAGAAGGGGGGGACCTTGAACTAGATCTCTTAAGATTTCTTCCAAGTTTAGATTCGATGACTTTCAGAGATTACCATGTTCTTTGGGTCTCAGCTATCCCCATGTACTCTAGAATCCTGGGCCTATATTTGGCTCAGGGCAAACTCTTCCTCTTCAGGGGACACTAAGGTTATGAGGCCCTGAATCTATTTCTGAATTTCTTTAGCCCCTCACCTGGAGATACTGTGCTTTCCCAGGGGAGGGAACCTTGCCCAGAGAACACCAATGGCTTTCCCTTCCAAGGACAGAGGAAAGAATATGTCCTTAAGGAAAGAGCATGTGACCCTGGGGGAATTTCTGTGAATGGTCAAAGGAGACAAAGTGGACCTCAAGCCAGGAAGCAAACCTACGTTTAGAGACTGGCTGTGGTATCTGATAGGCCTCGTACAGTCGGTCAAGGAGCTCCTTTTTCTCATTGTCTGGAAGGAAGCTGGACTTGGCTGCATTGATATTCTGGAAGAACCAATGTGGCAAATGGGGTTAGACTTTCAAACACCAAACAAAGTTCAAGCCCCCTGGCACATTCAAGTAGCAGGGTGACATGGATGAAGTTGCACAGTTAGCAATAGCAGAATGGAAAGCTAGCTTGCAGGTCACCTCCTGGTGTAGGGCTATTTCCACTGTGCTCTGCTCCAGAGGGATATATAGGAAACTTTGGTGCAGGCCAAGAAGAGGGGAAGGGCTTATGTATCAGATAGAGGATTGATGACAGGGTCTCTGAATCCCTTGGTCTTTAGTATGGCAAATGTTATCTAAAAATGGGATTATAGCTGCAACCTAGAGGGCTTGCTTGATGTGGGCTTTCTCTAAGGGAGAGCTACGGAGGAGGAACCCTAAGACCCTTTTCTAGTTTGAAGAAGCAAGCAGCAGCCCCTCAGCCCCTTGGGGTGGGGGAAGAGCTGAAGCATAGCACCCCTGTGGGTTCACCCTCTTCTTTCCCAGTGTTACTCTAATGTTACTATCCCCCAGTCACTCACCAGTCTTATAAACTCATCCTCAGTAAAGCCCATTTGCGTTTTTACCATGCGGTAATCTGTGTCAATGGTAGACTTGAAGATGAGGGGGTCATCTGTGTTGAGTGAATAGTTAGCCTTATCATCCTTAAATCTAGATGAGAGAGATGAGGAAAGGAAACCACGGGTGAATCTCTGCTAGAAAACAACTGAGGCCCTATGCTGCTCGCTGTCGTGGGCCTTAGTGAGCTTAGAACAACTAGCTGGCTCTCACGGCCCTTCTCATGCTGGTAAGTGTCTCTGCCCTGAGAACATAGGACTCACCCACCCACTACTACTACCCAGGGGCCTGAAGACAGTTCTGGGCCTATCACATTCATGAATCATGTATTAAATATGTATTAAACATATATATTTTGCAGAGTACTACCTCTAACAATAAGACAGTCTCGTTTCACAGAAGTGGTTAGACAACTATCATATAATGTGTATTACAGGTCACTGGATTCATGTCCCCGGGACATGTCCAGAAAAGTGGACACATGGTATGGGAGTCAGTGCTCTTTAGATGAGGGAATGAAGATGCCACCAGTAGGAGAAGGCCTGAAGGCCCAGAGTCCCCAGGAAACTGTCCTAAAGTATAGGAAGCAGGGAACGAGAAAAGTCCAACTTTAGGACCATGGCACTAGCAAAGAGAGCCAGGAAAGGAAGGCAGCAGGGCCTGCAGGGGAACCAGTCTGCAGGGACCCCAACCATGTGTCAGTGGAGCCCAACAAACCTGAGAGGAATTAGGCTGCAGGCAAAGCAGGCACTAAACACTACCATACAAGAAGAAACCACCACTTGTGTCCATCCCCCATTGACCTGGCAGGAGACAGATGCCCCGGGGATGGACAGATAAGCCTTCCAAGGCTAATGATATGTTTCTGGCCTGCAGACTACCACAAAGTAGTCATCAGTTGAGGACAAAGATAGCCCCAAGTACAGCACATAAGTGAAGCCATTCTAGGACTGCAACCAGATATTCCATGCTTCCCTGAAGGTCCCAGCAGGGACCAGAAGGGCACCAGCTCACCGTATGACTGCATGCAGGGTGTCCGGCTTCCAGGCTCCTGTAAGATAGCTCGACCAGGGGCATACCTGGGTGAGAAATGATGCTTTGAAGAATGAGAAACACTGTTGGGGAAATGCCAGATGCGGCAGAAACCTTAAAGAAAGCATTTGATCTAACTCCTTCATTTTACAGACGAGGAAAATGAAGCCCAAGAAGACAGTGTAATGGAATGAACACTGAATTCAGAGTCCAAAGACATGGGTTCAAATCCTGATTCTGCTGCTTCCTTCTTGTATGACTTTGTACAATTCACTTCCCCTGGAGGGAGTCTCTATTTACCTATCTATAAAAGGACACAGCTAGACTAAATGATCTCTAATGTGTTTTAGTTCTAAATATCTACAAACCAATAAAATGACTCACCTGGGTCATACAGTGAGGAAGTAGCAAAGGCATAATTCAAATACAGGTTCTGACTCCAAACCCAGGGTATTTTTCCGCTACATGAGAGGAAGCGCTACAACGTGTTACATCTTCCGCAGAACAGGTAGGAAGGGGGCCCATAGGTTTCCTTTGCCCCAAGACTTAGTCCATGGGTGGGGGAAGTGAGGATGCCACATTCTAGGCAGAGTATCCCCAAATGTATACTAGGAGGCTCAACCTAGCTAACCCACTCACCTCAAAGTGCATGTTCTCCTTCAGCAACTTATCATACAGGGTGGTGTTTTCCAAAGTGTGGTAGCCATGGCCTATCCTCTCAGTATGGAGAACATCTACTGCCTACAGTAGAGGGGAGGTTGAGAGTGAGAGCAGGACCCAGACATGGACACCCCCAGCCTCTCTGCCCAACTCCTAGCCTCACCTGCTGTACAACCTCGGCAGACCCCACTTCTCCGGCATGAACTGTCCGATGGATGCCACTTTTCACTGCCTCCTGTAAAGGCAAAGGAAAGAGATAGTTGTGTCTGTAGGGGTAGGGGCTAAGAGAAACATTTTTAAACAGACTGCACCCCTCTCCAAGGCCCTCTCAGCCCCAAGGGGTCATAGGGGATAAAGACCTCCAAAGATCCAGTTAATGTTTCATTTTAGTCTGGACCTGAGAGGGCCTGTAACTTCAGTCTCCCAGAAGCCCTTGCTGTTACTCATGGCAGCAGAAACTGTCTCCTGTAATAATTCATAACACAGGAGGAATTGGCCCACTTGAGGTGAGGGAGAGAGGACATGGATAGCCAGAAGGCTTGAGAAAACAAGGAAATGGAGACATTAGAATAGAATAGTAGAGATGGAAGGAACCTTAAAGGCCACCTTCATTTTACAGGAGTGACCTGAGGTCCAGAGGGCAAAACTGACCGCAAGGTTGCATAGCTAGTCAATGGCAGAGCCAGGACGCCACCCTTGGCTGGCATCTGACTGGGAGCCTAGGATTTGTTCTACCACTATGCTGAACCTCACCTTTGCAGCCTACAGAAATGTTGGCAACAAACAGAATTCAAAAACTCCATATCCTCTAAACTGCTCATGTGTCTCTTGGCTGGGAAGCAAGGCTTATTTCATTATGCATAAACTGTTGCCACCCTCCCCCATCGCCACTCTGACCGCCACTACCCATACTTACTCACCTCATAGGCTTGTACATGCCCAGAGAAGAGGCTACTGTTGTTGATGGTCTCATCTCCAGCCAGGTCAATGGCCACCACCGTCTGCTGGCGATACTTCTTACAGAGTTCCACCACCTCAGGGGACCAGTCTGTAGGCAAGACCCGTATCATGTGTCAGTGCAGTCCATTGAACCTGAAAGGAATTGGGCTGTAGGCAAAGCAGGCACAAAGCACTAACACTCAAGAAGAAACTCCCACTTGTGTCTATCTCCTATTGGCCCGGCAGGAGACAAATGCCCCGGGACTGAGAAGCAAGCCTTCCAAGGCTAATGAGGTGCTACAGGTCTGCAGACCTGTCATCAGGTGAGGGTGAGGCTAGCCCCAACATGGCACATAAATGGAATCATGATAGGGCTGAAACCAAACAACCCATGCTGCCCATTTCCATGTCTGCACACAGAAGCAGCATGGGCCATGAGAGGACATTCCAAATCATACAATCTCAGTATTGAAGGGATCTGAAGTCACCCAAGCCCAATCACAGGCATCCCTTCTATACTGTACCCATCTGGCCTCTCTTTGAATGTTTGCAATAGGGAACCCAGAGGCAGCCAGGTGGATAAACCACTGACCTTGGAGTCAGGAGGACCTGAGTTCAAATCTGGCCTCAGACACTTATACTAGCTGTGTGACCGAAGGCAAGTCACTTAACCCCGATTGCCTCCAAAAAAAATTTAGGGAACTCACTTCCTTCTAGGGTATCCCATGCTACTTTGGAACAGATCTCATTATTGGGATTTTTTCCCCTTATATTCAGTGAAAATATGCCTTTCTGGGGCAGCTAGGTGGCGCAGTGGATAGAGTATCGGCCCTGAAGTCAGGAGGACCTGAGTTCAAATTCAACCTCAGACCAAACACTTGACATATACTAGCTGTATGACCCTGGGCAAGTCACTTAACCTCAATTGCCTGAAAAAAAAAAAAGAAAGAAGAAAATATGCCTTTCTGCAACTTGCAGTCATTTCTCCTCATTCTGCCTTTTTGAGCCAAGTAAAACAACTCTGATCTCACTTCTATATGATAGCGCCTCCCTCATACATTTTGGAGATGAGGATCATGAATTCCCTAGGTTTTCTCTAGGTCAAATATGCCCACTTCCTCTTTTCTCTAGGCCAAATATGCCCACTTCCTCTAATTCACCCCAGCTTGATGCCACACAAATCAATCCTGCCTTGCAGGTACTGACACTACCAAATTCAGAGTTCTACACCTTTACATTTAAAGAACCAGCACAGTTCTATAATCTGGGGGTATATTTTTCTGCTTTCACCTGAACTGAAGGAATAAGAAACCACTACCAGCTTGTGGGATGACAGAAAACAGTAGCTCATGGTTGGAGCTCAAAGATTTGCATGACTTTGAGTGGGTCATTTTCTCCCTGAAACTCAGTCTCCTCATCTGTAAAATGGGGGCAGGACTAGATAATCTGAGGATCTTTTAGCTCATATATAGCTCATACTCTGATTCAAAAGGAAGCATGACCATAAGACTAGAATAAACTAAACCCTGTTGGGGCATGTAGCCCAACCCCAGAATATCAGAGCACCTGGGTTCTGGCTTACCCAGATGGGCCCTGACCCTAACTCAGTCAAAGAGTACCAGAGTGAAGCTGTGCTAATAAGACCTAGAACAGGGAATCCCCCCACCATACCTGGAAGCATCTGACCAGGGAGTCTGAGGGCTTTGAAGCCAACACTGCTTAGAGAGAAGCAGCAGTAGCTTTCTGACCATCTGCAACAGACCCTTCCAGTCCTCTGGAATGGGACGGGATTGGGGCTGGCAGCCAGGAAAAGCCCTGAAACCTTTCCTCAGGGAGACCCAGAGGCTGAATGGCCTGGCATCAGAAGGCATCAGGCTTTGTTGGTCAAGACATGAAGAAAAGATATCTGGCTTAAGAGCCACTATCTCTACTGGCCTTAAGCAGACAGGGTAAGTCGGGACCAGATGAACTACCTCAGGGTTAAACAACACCACCATCCCCAACTGAATCCCAAGTGCTTTAGGGACCATGTGATGTTCAGGTGAGACCTTGCTTAGGGATCAGCAGATCATGGACAATGTGGGAGAGAGAGCCATTGACTGCTGCTTCCAATTCTGACACCTTTCACTGTGGGCTCTGGTCTAGCACAGCAACTCTGTGTGTGTGTGTGTGTGTGTGTGTGTGTGTGTGTGTGTGTGTGTGAGAGAGAGAGACTGAGAATTCAGATCTATGTGAGTTCCTCTCCTCACAGCCCTCATAGGCATGTGAGTTCATCAGTTCATAGGATCATAGAAATGGAAGCTGGCAGGGACCAGATGTCAGGCAGGCTAACTCTCTCGCTTTACAAATGAGAAAATCAATTGATAAGCACTGACTGAGTGCTTGTCCTACAAGGAGTTAGGCATTCTGCTTGGCACTGAGGGTGTAAAAAACAAACAAACAAAAACGCCACAAGCCCAGAAGAAAGGGAAGTGACTTGCCCAAGATTGCATAGATCTGGGGCAGAGCTGGGGATCTGAACCCAGGTCTTTTGATGCCAAAGACAATGCTCTATCCTCTATATCACATTGCCCCCTCACTAAGCCACGTGGACTGAATTTCCCTAAATCTCTTCCACATATCTGCCAAATAGGTATCTGCTCTTTGTGGCAGGTCCAGAAGAGGCTTTTTATGAAGAATAAGAACTAGTAAGAAAACAAAAAACAAAAATTTTCTCAAAAAATTGACCAGAACTTCAAAAACTTTCTAGCAGATGGTAAGATTGGCAGATGCCTCCTCCCCTACTTTCCTGGCTGTCTCATCTGTTTCAAGGCTGCACGCTGCCACATTGCTTAACTCTAGTGCTGGCAACCTCAGACCCTAAAGAGACAAGGGAGGGTCTGGGAAGCTCCCAGGACCACCAAGCCAGAGTGTCCCGTCTCTTCTCCTGCTCTTCTTCCAACTCTGAAAAGCCTTTCCTGCAGCGAAGGAGGCAGAAGCAAGGCACAGTATATGAAAGAGACCAGCTAAAGACACAAGGAATATGTGTGTTAGGGGAGGAAGACAAGCCAGTTCAGGCATCCATCTTCCTCTGACTCTTCTAGTCTAAGGATCTGTTCCCAGTGCTACGCTCCTGGAGAAGAGGATGCAGGGTATGGTGAATAGAATGGGAACTACCAAAAGAGGGAGAGGAGAAGAGGGAATGAGGACACAAGTGGGAAGGGAAGAAGGAGAAAAGGAGGAGGGAAGGAAAGCAGAGGAACGGAAGAATGGAGGGAGAGATGAGCAGGGTAGAGCAGATGGAGGGGATGGGTGAATTAAAAAGCAGTTACTAAACACATACTATGTGCCAAGCACTGTGCTAAGTGCTAGGCACACAAAAGAAAGTAAGATGGTGCCTGTTCTCAAGTTGCTCTTGTTCTAATACAGGAGACAACACATATTGGCAGTTTCAGCTGGAAAGGTCCGGCGGTCCTTAGAGAGACAAAAAGAAAGGATGGAGAGGAAAGAAGGGAGGAAGAGGTAAACAGGATAGAGGGGATAGAAAGGAAGATGAGGAAGGAAGGAAGGAAGGATCAGGACTAGACAGGGGCAGGCCCGAGAAGGTGAGGAGAGGGACCAGAATACATTACTTGGCATGTGGCGCATGCAGCATAGAATAGACCTGACTTTGACGTTAAAGTCTCGCTCGCCCTCCTGCAGGCCCTGGCTGATGAGAAATACGACTTCATCAGGGGTGACGTCTCCTCTGTATGGAAAGAGAGATCCCCAAAAAGGAAGTGAGGCCACCAGGCAGGGGGAGAAGCCAGCCCCTCAGCCTGGAGGTCCCACTGAGACAGAAAACCCAGCCAGTGGCTGGGCCAGAGCTGAGCACAGGACTCCAGGCAGGGAGGGGGTTTGTTTTGTTTTTGGTGGGCCAGTCGGAGTGAGAGGCTTCTTTCTTGGCATCAGAAGACAGGGATAAACGAACGAGATTTCTGTCTCCAGCTGGGCCTACACCCCACCTCCAACTCATCTCGTTTTTGGGGAAAAGTAGCTAAATTGATACCATATGGGGAGCCAAGGGGCTTGAGACATTTCTGATAGAATGTGAGGAGAAATTCTCTGATTAGGGATATCCCTCTGGGAGAGTGGAGAGGATGGAACACAGGGATAATGGAGAGGATGGAACACAGGGATAAATTTAGGTGGTGTAAAAACAAAAGATATTAATAAAAATTCATTTTTAAAAGAAGAAAATTAGTGGATCACGGCAGGTGATCACTAGTTTGGAGAAAGAGCCATGGCATAGGAGTCAGGAGGCCTGGGTTCAAGTCCCAACTCTGCTATTACCTAAAATTCCAACTCCGCTATTACCTCACTATATGACCTTGGGTAAGTCACTTTCTCATAAAATGAGGGGCCCAAACTAGATAATCTCTGTAGTCTTTTCCCACTCTAAATCCTATGATTTAGAATGGACCTGGGGTTCCTCTTCTAACTAGGGGGTATCAGCCCATTTAGAATTCTAGCCTGCCCAGGTGCAGACCTTGGACTCCACCAGCCACACCCTCCACACCACCCTGGGCCCTCTCCACTCACTTACTCAGCCTGATTCCAGGGAATGGGCTCCACCTTGGAGTTGGCCAGCAGGTGGGGGCTATACCTCACCTCCACATACACCACACCTTCCTTGGCTTTCATCTCCACAAACTCATAGGCCACTCGTTTGATGGCTTCCCGGTCACCCCTGTGAGGATGAGGACAGGAGAAAGGCAGGGCTCAAAACAACCTCCATTCCTAGTGGCAAGATGGGGTGGGGTGGGTGGGGAGGAGAAGGAAAGCCTTTGTTGTTCAGTCACTTTCAATCATGTCCAACTCTTAATTACCCCATTTGGGGTTTTCTTGGCAAAGATATTGGAGTAGCTTGCCTTTTCTTTCTCCAGCTCATTTTACTAAAGCAAACAGAATTAAGTGACTTGCCCAGGGTCACAGCTAGTAAGTGTCTGAGGCTGGATTTGAACTTAAGAAGATGAGTTTTCCTGATACCAGGTCCAGTACTCTACCCACTGTGCCACTTAGCTGCCCACATATATATAAGTAAACAAAAGAATATAAGAGCACCTATTTGAGTGCCTCTGTGTGTGTGTGTGTGTATGTGTGTGTGTGTATGCGTGTGTGTGTAAGAGAGAGAGAGAGAGAACATGAGCGAGAAGTAGGGAGGAAGATAGAAGTGGAAGGGGGGAGAAAGAGCAAGAAGAGGGAAGGAAGAAGGGAGAAAGAGAGAAAGATAAAGAGAAGAGAAGAGGGGAAGGAGAGAGAGAAGTGAGAAGGTGGGAGGGAGAGAGAAAGAAGGGGGAGAGGGAGGGAGAAGGAGAAGTTGTGGATCTCTGAGACATGATGTTCTGTGAGTAGGGATGGGTTCATAGGTATGTTACAGGATATGCATGGTTGTGGGAGGAGACAGATGTCTTTTCTTGCCAGCATTTGAATGAAAACCTTGTGTCCAGTGAGAAAGCAGTTTCTCACACTCCCACAATCATCTTCCTGTCACAAACTCTCAGGGGCAAATAACAACTGAAGCAAGCCAGAAACCTATTGCCCTTTTGTGGAGGCAGAGAAAAGGGCAGGGAGAAAGACAAACCAGAGGAGACTTTCCAGGAAAAATAAAGCTGGGGAGCAATGAGGAAGAACAAATTCAAGGCCGGGGTTCCCTTGAGCCAGCCTCACCTCCAAGTGTCAGTAGGCGTGGCTGTCGGGCGGTGGTATTCAAGGCCTCTCCACCACAGCCTCCTCCACTCTGCTCTTCTCACTGCCCCTTCAAAAACACACTATCCTCACTCCCTTGGTATGGTATAAAGAGCCTTGGCTCAGTCAGAAGACCTGGGTTCAAATTCTGGGTCTGTCACTTACTACCTCACTTCCTCTACCTAGGCCTCAGTTTCCTCATCTATAAAATGAGGGGGGTGGACTCTATCTATGATCCTAATAATAACCCATATTCCTATGATCAAAGACTGTGCATTTCTCACCCAGTCTGGAGTCCTCTGTGCCCCACTCCCTTTCCAAACCTAGACCAGCCCCGACTGCTCAGCTCAAGCCTTATCTCCTCCCTGATCACCCCAAATCACCAGAACCTTTCTCTAAACTTGAGCATTTTTTCCACAATCCGCTTAACTCTTATTCTTCATTTCCTATGTGTCTGTCTTGTCTTCACCCCAAGACTATGAGTTTCACAAGGGCTAGAACTGAGTCTTTTCCATTTTACGTCCCCCAAAGTGCTCCTCACAGACCCAACAACACAGAAGGTCTTTTAATTAAGAGTAGGAATAGGGGCAGCTAGGTGGCACAGTGGATAGAGCACTGGCCCTGGAGTCAGGAGGACCCGAGTTCAAATCCAACCCCAGACACATAACACTTATTAGCTGTGTGACTCTGAGCAAGTCACTTAACCCCAATTGCCTCACAAAAAAAAAAAAAGGAATAATCTGTGTCTGAGCCTTGGTTCTACCACTTAGGAGCAGTGTGCTTTTGGGCAGATCGCCTGACCTTTCTGATTTTCAATAAAATCTGAATAATCACGCTGGCTCTCCCTCTCTGAGGATTGTTGGGAGGATGGCATGAGTGATGGTTCTGAAAGTGAGCTGTGAAGAGGTACGTGAATCCAAGATGGACTTGCATTATTAGTAAATTGGACCGCTCTTGGCCATGTATTCCTGCATAAGATAAGATTAGACTAGTTGACTTCAGCTCTCAGCACTAGCTGGCCATCTCTTTAACCTTACAAGCCTCTCATTCTCACAGGGGGCTGGGGGACCAGACAACTCACGCGATGGCTGGCATGTAGTAGTCAAACTTGGCCAAGAACTCAGGGAGGCTTAAGGGCTTGTCCATGCCAATGATGTCCCGGAGTTCCTCCACTGTGTTGGCAGGAAGTGGGATTCCTCTCTTCCTGGAAGCAAAAGCAAAGCACATGCTTGTTCAACAGCCACGAAAGGCAGGAGGAGAATGTGAGACCACAGAGCAGAGAGGCCAGGGTTCACTCCTGAGGTCCTCACCTTCCTTCTAGGCACATGGACCATAACTCCATGGAGGTAAGTGTGGTACTGTGGAAAGAGCACTAGTTAAGAGGGCCTGGGTTCAAATCCTGACTTGGCTACTTAATAATTGTGTGATTTAGGACAAGTTACTTTTACTCTCTTGGGTTTTTCAACCCCAGGTTTTTCCCCTGTTTGGGGAAAAAAAAAAAGACACCCTCAACAGTTTCTTCAACCTGTAAAGTGAGAGAGTTGAATTAGGTAGTCTCTATGAGGTCTGTCCCAGATCCAGGTCCATCCCTTCTGTTCTATACCCGCAACTACCCTTTGTTTCCTCTACCCTTCCTAAGTCCATCCTGACCACGATACTCCTAGTATTCTCCTCAATAACTGTCCATGGCTCCCTACTGTCTAATGAGAAAAGAACAAACTTCCAAACTGAGAATTTAAGGGCCTCTACAACCTGGCATTATTCTACCTTCTTAGCTTCGTTCTCATATGATTCTCCTTCATACACTAGGTGCCAACAGAACCGAACTTCATGCCTGCTTCCCCTCCCTCTCTCCATGTACATAGGCATGTCTCCCGTGCCCAGAATGGTCTCTCTTTGGGGGCAGCTAGGTGATACAGTAGATAGAGAGCAAGGCCTGGAGTCAGGAAGACCTGACTTAGACACTCAACTAGCTGTGTGACCCTGGGCAAATCATTTTGACCTTGGTCTGCCTCAGTTTCCTCATCTGTAAAATGGGAATAATAACAGAACCTACCTCCCCAGGGTTGTTGTGAGATCAAATGAGATCATATTTGTAAAGTGCTTGGCACATAGGAGGTATTTAATAAAATTTTTGTCCCCTCCCTCCTTTCTATTCCCACTTTGTGAAATCCTGCTACCTCTTCTAAGAAGCCTCTTCTAATCCTTTTTCCCACTTAGTCTTTACAGAGCACAGCATATGATCTTTTTTAAGCACTTACTTACGTAACACAATCGTTGTTTGTTGAAGAGGACCAATGACATCAGAAAGGTGATGTTTTGACTTGCAAGTGAATTAGATTTAAGTGAGGCAGGGTTGTGCCCAGTCATCAGCCTCACTTCTCCCCCAGAACCATCTGGGTCCAGGCGCAACATATAGATCAGGAGATGGTCCTGGATGTTATAACTAATGTGTGTCACAGTCCATGAGGATGAGGACAATGTCTTATCTGCCTTTGGTATCTCATAAAGGGCTCCTTAAAAATTTAATTTCATTTTAAATTTTCCTATTTTTCTTGACACTTTTGTTTCAGAAATTTGTTTCTGAATATCTCCCTCCTCCAACCAGCTAGCCAAAGATTAAAAAAAAACAGAAAAAAGGCAGTTTGGGAAAACTAATCAATATGTCAGCCATGTCTAAGGAGCATATACAACATTGCACACCCACAAGCAAGAGGGAGGTACACTTTTTCAACTCTTTTCTAGTACCAAGGTCAGCCATTATAATTCTGTGTGGGTCTGGGGGTTTGTTGTTGTTGTTCTGTCCATGGACCTTATTGTAGATGTCATGTAGACCACTCTCCTAGTCTACTTGCTTCAGCTTGTGTCTGTTCATGTCTGCCAATGCTTCTCCAAGTTCTTCCTATTTGCTGTTTTTTATAGCACAGTAATACGGCACTACATTCACATAATAGAATTTGTTTAGTCATTCCCCAATTTCTCAGTACCTCCGTTTCCAGTTTGTGGTGTTTTGTTTTGTTTTGTTTTGTTTTTTTAACAACAAAAAGTTATTTGGCTATTTGGGTCCATATGGACCCTTTGTTGTCAGCCATTTGGGGATATGGGAAATTTGGAGCAAAGGGTACAGGCATTTTAATCACTTTCTTAGCATAACCCCAAATTGCTTTACCATATGGTTGGAACGATTCACAGTTCTACCAAGAGTATATCAGGGGCAGCTAGGTGGTGCAGTGGATAGAGCTCTGGCCTTGGAGTCAGGAGGACCCGAGTTCAAATCCAGCCTCAGACACATGACACTTACTAGCTGTGTCACCCTGGGGCAAGTCACCTAACCCTAATTGCCTCACACACACACCAAAAAAAGAGTATTAGTGTGCATATGTTTCCAATATGGATTATTTCCATTTTTTGTCATCTTCGCCAATTTTCTAGGACTCTTAATAAATATTTGTAACAAGAAGGGATGGACATGTGGATAAGTGAATGTGCACACGTGTGCTTGTATGTGTGTGTGTGAGAGAGAGAGAGAGAGGGAGGGAGGGAGGGAGAGAGAGAGAGAGAAAGGGAGAGAAAGGAAGAGAGAGAGAGAGAGAGAGAGAGATCATCAGTCTTCTCCTCACGAGACCCTTACGGGGAAGAGGCCCATATGAAATGTGGGAGAGATTCAACTATCCACCAAAACTCAGAAGTGCTATAAATCATTGCTGACTCAGGGCTTTCTCCCCTGAGGGCTCAGTGGGAGACTTAGCCTGAGTGCAGACTCCCTTCTCAGCATAAGAGGGTGTGACCTCTGGGCAGGGGCATAGTCGGCTTGGCTTCATGCCAGGAAGAGACTTATCAGGGTACTGATTGCTGGCTCAACAATTCCTGGGCCTGAGCAGGCGCCACAGACTTCCTCTGCCTCCAGGCCTGCCCCTCTCACAGGCTACTACCATCACCCACTTGAAGATGGACAAGGGAGTGGGTCAAGAGAACAAAGAGGCCTGCAGCCCTTAGTCTGAACAGGCTTGAGGAGGTAGGGGCTCTTCTAAGTGCACCGTGCCAGGGATGCTGTTGGCGGAGAGGTTACCTAGTATGACCCACCCCCTGCTTTTCACTTTCCTTTTCCAAATTGCCTTAGCATAAACTGACGTCCCGCACTGGTGACCTCTGTCTCGAGTTGTTTCTGAGTCCAACTCCAGGCTGGCATCTTTCTTCCCCTTTTCTCCTTCTAAACTATGTCCCCCTCTCTTTCTAGACCCATGCTTGCCTTGAATGGCGTAGACTCAAAAGAAATCAAGTTGGAAGGAACTAGAGAGATTATTTATCCTACCCCTCTTTATTTTACAGATGAAAGAACTGAGGCACAGAAACTGAATTATCCCAAATTACAAAGAAAGTAAGTAACAGGACCAGGACTCAAGCGCAAATCCAATGCTTCTCCCACTCTATGGCCTATTCTCTCCCTGACCTTCAGGTCTCCAATCTAGAGATGAAAGGGACCCCAGAGGCTCTCTAGTCCATATATGATCCTACTGAAGAAATCTCTAACGTATTTCCTTTCAGAAATTATTACGATCTTTTGAATAGGATGGCAACATAAACTTCATTGACAAATGCCATACTGGCTACAAGAACTCAAAAGATTGCTTAAGTAGTTGTGCTAATATTCAGTTGTGACCATACAAGAATTGAAAACGAAGTGTTCTTATTAAGAGGAATACTTTCAAGATAATCTGGTCACATCCTATGCATAATTAAACCTTTTTTTAAAATAAAGGGTTTTTTTTAAGCAAATAAGGAAAGTTAGTAAAGTTGTACTTTTTTGATGGAAAACCTTTGAAGACAGACTAGTGGTGGTTATTCAAGAGAGGGAAAAAACCCAAAAAAATAAGCTACATATTGAAGTTACAGGATATAGCACCTCAAATTAGCCGGTATCATTTTACAGATGGGGCAACTGGAGTCCAGGCAGGTTAAATGATTTGTCCACAGTCAGAGCTAGAAAGTGTTCAAGAAGGTATGTGAACTTAGGTTTTCCTATCCACTATGTCTTACTGGTACTTCAATGTAAGTTATCATCTTCATGTTACAGGTAGAGAAACTGAGGTACAGAGAAGCTAAGTGACCAACCCAGGATCACAAAGAGAGCAAGCACCAAAACTCAGTCCAGCAGGTAAGATTCAAACCCAGGCCTTTCCAGACTCTAAGTACAGAGTTCTTTCAATGTTGTCTCTTAAAGATCACAGGGATAGCTTTTGCCATTCCAAACCCAGGGAAGAGGAGAGAGAATCTATATCCTATTCAGACAGAATACACAAAAAGTGCTGTTGTGAATATTTTGACATATATGGGATTTTTCTTTCTCTTGGCATTTGAATCAAGTCCCACCTGTTTTCTCAAAGCTCACTGACATACCTGGCTGCCAAAGGCCTCTCCAAACCTCAGCTGCCTCCTTGAAGGCCAAACCTCCACCTCATCTGACCTCTGTTATGACATCATGCCCCAAGCTTTTTTTGTGCTCCTTAGATTCCAGAAAAACAATGTTCTTGTGACCCTTAAAAACCAACCACTCCTAAGCTTACTCTCCACGCCATCTGATGAGGGAAACTTAAAAAGAAATAAATCAATTAATATTCCATGAGAAACCCTAAGATAGCAGGCAACTCCCTTTCCTTCCTCCCTACCCAAGCTCTTAATACTTTTCTTATCTCCATAAAGAGTGTTCTAGACTTGTCTTATCCCCTTAATGAGGGTTCTCTATGTTCCCTAACCTTTTAAAGGCGTTTCCTTCCCTTTTGGTCCCATCTCTGTTCCCAACAGCTGCTGCTAATGACCTGATTAAGACCAGTCCATATTGCTGCTTAGTCTGGATGGGTTAAGCATAAACAAAGACAACCCAGCCCTTCCTCCCCTCAAGGCTCCTTCCTATCTGGGCTGGGTGGGTAAATCTGGCAGTTACCAGCCACTGCCCTTTGAAACCTTACTCTGGTTTCAGGTCACATTTAAGACACCTGAAGTCATAGCCCATGATCTCTTTGAGAAACAGCAAACACAGCAACCTGGTCCTGGTCTGAGTTGAGCCTTCATAACTTGCTATATAACCCCTCAAGGGGACATATTTAAGCTTTCTGAACTGGTTTTCCCATTTGTCCTTGCAACTAGACTTGTTCTGCTTCTCTGGTCCTCCAAAGTGTAGCCAAGTACCAGGGTAGTAGTAGTATCAACAATAACCAACTAAATTAAAAGAGTTTTCCATCCTGATTGTCCAGAATAGCCTTCAGAAGCCACCCTCCCCATTCACCCTGAACTTCTAGGACAGGAAAGGTGAATTATTGCCCTGGTTTCATGGTCCTCTCTGATTACTGATGGGCTTCAGACATTTCCCGCTTCACTCAATGACCCAGTGGCTTTGGTATTGAGAAATGTTGCAAAGCTATGCCTGAACCTTTTCTACAAGGCTGTCCCCACAGTCCCATAGGCTCAGGAGGATGATGGATCCAGCCCCTGACTATGTCCACACAGCAGCAGGAGAAGAAGGGGATAAGGAGTCAAAACCAAAGCTGACAAAAGGAATGGGGGCTCTGGAGAAGAAGGCTTCATCAGACAATGGTCAGCAACCTGATACTCCTTGCAGGTTGTATCACCTCCCAAGCTTAACGCTCTCTCCCAACAACAGGTTCCCAAACTCCATTTAGCTCCTAGGACACCCTGGCACCCACCCCAGATTGGCTTTAAAGTTTTTTAAATTTTTAACATTTTTTTACATTTTCCATTTTTACATTCACCCTCTGCCCCAAGTGGGCATTACAGCTTGTGTCTGAGGTGGTTCAGTCCCACCTCTGAGACGTATTGGCTGTTCATGCTTTGGAAGGTCACTTAACTTTCCGTGCTCTAGGCAGCTCTGAGAGTTGAAGTTTCAGAGGAAGGTGCCAGACTGCATAAAGTTTCCTCATCTGCCAAGTTCCCTGTATCAATGGAATCACTGGTCCACCCCCACCCCATAGAAGATAAATATGAGGTAGTTTCAGGGAGGAGACACTAATTATCAGAACATATTGGCTCCATAACAGCCAACTGAGGTGGGAAGGCATAAATTCTTGTCTTAATCCCTCCTACAAGCAGACACAATCAATCCCCCATTCCCTCCACATACTTACTCGGCATAGTACAAGATGGTCTCAAGCTTGATGGCTCCATCCAGATGGACATGAAGCTCTACCTACAAGAGAGAAAGAACCATAAATGGCCATGGTAGTGAGAGGCCTGGAGACCCATGGTGCCAGGAGGCATACTAGGGATGTCAAGAGAGCAAAGCAAAGTGGTAAGGGAGGAAAAAAAAGGTGGCAAGAATCCCTGGTCCCTCTCCTCATCCCCATCAAAAACCAGTATTCTGGATTTGACTCTAGGTCTGAAAAGAGTCTGCCTGCCTGAAAGCTTGGGGAGTGCAGCAGACTCATTCCCCACTGCAGGTCATGTTGGAAGATGAACCTTCCTTCACCTTTGCATCTTTGTAGCTCTGACCAGGGGGAAAAGATCATGGAACTTCTTTTAAGCTGTTTCCTTATCTGGAAAATAGGGTTGATAATGCTAATGTTACCTACCTTACAGAATTTGTTGTGAATAAAATTAGGACAGGCATAGGGGCTGGGAATCTGATTTCACTGATATGGGGAACTCCGGGGTGAGGAAATTCCCTTTACTAATACAGGTTTGCAGGTTCTCTTCAACTTACACAGAGTTAGAGTTGCCAACAATTTGGAGAAATAAAGTGATTTGCCTAGGGTTACACAGCCAGGATGGATCAGAGGAAAATGCTGCATAAATACTATACTTCTATACATGTATGAGTTGTTATGAATAATAACAAGAGATCCCTAACTTCCTTCAAGGCTCAGGTTAAGAATTACTTCCTACAGAGTCCTTACTCTCCACCCCTACTTCCCTCATTACTCTGGATTAACTTCTTTGGGTGGCATAATGGGTAGAGATCTGGCCCTAGAGACAGGAAGACCTGTGTTCCAGTCCAGTCAACAGATACATCCTACTAGCTGTGTTACCCTGGGCAAGTCCCTTAACCTCCTAGTGTTCTGGGCAGAGAATAGAACTTGCTAACTTGCATTGGCAAAGGGAGTTTTTTCGCCCTGATGTTTCTCATTCCAATGAAATCATAGGTCCAGTGTCTATCCTGAAGTATAATATAAATATGAACTATTTTTAGTATTACTTGGGGGCAAAGGAGAGGTCCAGACAAAGTACTCAAAGTACCTGAGGAGAGACAAGACTTCCAGGGGGAGTGGAGTCAGGGAAGGCTTTCCAGAATCAGAATTCAGAACTAGAAAGGACCTTAGAGTTCATTTAATGCAGCAGTTTCTAACCTCTTTTGTGTGTCTTGGATCCCTCTGGTGAAGCCTTCTCAAAATAGTATAGACCTTTCTTAGAGCAATGGTTCATAATGAAGAAAATCTACTCCTAACTTACAGAATTGCATGTCTGTGTTGTTTCACCACAATATAAGCTCCTTGAGGTTAAGGATTATTTCATTTTTATCTGTCTCCCTAGTTCCACAGTGCCTGGAATATAATATGCACTTAATAAACACTGGTTTATTGTGTCGGGAATATAATAGGCACTTAATAAATGCTTGTTTATTATGCCTAGAATATAATATGCATTTAATAAATGTTTATTTTCAGTGGAATATGATATGCATTTAATAAACACTTGTTTATTGTGCCTGGAATATAATATGCATATAATGTTTGTTTATTTTGCCTGGAATATAATATGCACTTAATAAACAACTTGTTGAATGAATGAATGAATGAATGAATGGTTGCAAATGAAGGGGAAAGTGAGGGGGTGAAGGAATCAGCAGTGGAATACCCAAGGAATGAGGAGGACCCTGGAGAGTTCCTTCCAACAGCCTTGACCCATTAATGCTTTAGAACAATGAGTTTACCATATTCACTAAAATGTCACCTGGGAAGACAGGGGACAGTTGAAATAAGCTTATTTTGGTTAAACAGAGTTAAAAGAACCTGTATGTACTTAAAAGAGACCCATAGGACTCCCTAATTATTGCCCACCATGGCTCCATGGGTTCTCTGGGTTCATGAGGTTAGTATTACAAGGTCAATCTCCAGCTGAGTCAGTTATAGTTACCCTATTCCATGGCTATAGACCCTACCTCTCCTTCCCTCAGGCTAAGCCTCACCCTGCCCCCCATCCATCCCTAATGAATCTCTAATTCCATCTAGACACTTCAAAGGTCCAGTAAGAGAGGGCTGGGATGAAAGAGTAGAAATGACCTAGTACAAAACCAGCCTCACTGCCTGGATTAAAGCAGCACCAACCTGGCTGCAGATGTGCAGGTTAGACCTGTTCCATGACACAAGTCATTGTGACTCTTAGGGACAGTTCCTGGCCTCTGGGGACTGGAAAAAGAAGACATAACTCCCTCCTGCCATCTTTTGTCCCCACCCCCCACTCCATGCAACTAGGAGACTGTCTCTCTAGCTATGCAGCCTCACTGGGGGCAGGGAATGTTCAACACCTGCAGGTTGGTTAACAGTACGTAGAACAATTTAGCCAAATAATGCTTCCTGGTCTCTAGCAGCCACCGGGATCCCACAGCAGGGACTGCTCTAAGCAAATACAAAGATCCAATGCACAAGAAGAGTAAGGCAAGGGGGTGCATCAGAATGGTTCCTTTAATACCAAGATCTCTAGTGTGGTGGGAAGAGCTCAGGGTAAGGGGTCAGGAGGCTGGGGTCAAAGTCCTAGCTCTGACACTAATGTTATGTGACCTTGGGCAAGTCATTTCCCTTCCTCTGGGCTCATTTTCTTTCTCTGTCAAAAGAGGAATGTGGAAGAAATGAGCTCTGAGATCTCTTCCAGTTAGATAACTTTATCTAAAACCCCATTTACAAAAATTTTGAGTCATATAAAATGTTTTACGGGTAGAGTTCTAATTAGAATCAGAAGTTATGAGATTTCATCAGAACCTAAAATGGGGGTTAAGATGGAGTGTACTTTTTTTTTTTCTTCTGAAAGGGCCTGAGCAATGGACCAGGATAAGGGGCAGGATACTCATTGACTATAGTTCATTCCCAACCCTCAGGAGGAAATCTTTTATTATCAGTTCAGCCTTCCAGGAACACCCACATGACATCACCCCCAGGGGTAGATGATAACTATTGAGAAAGGAATTTAGGGATCAGGACAAGAGAGTTCACTGCCCTTCATAGAGCAAGGAGCCAGAGACTGACAGGAAACATGATTATAGGGAATCTTGAATACAGAAGCTCCCTCAGTCAAGAGGGCACCCTGCCCACTGGGCACTGTCCCAGGACAGGGAATGTAAAGGAGGAAGGAAGTCTGAGGGCATTAAGAGCCTTGAAGATAAGCAGAGGGAAGCTGGACTCTGGAGAGGATGGGGGAAAGTACTGGCAAGGAGAGCTAGTTAATTGAGTGTATGCCCAGCTATAGCTGGGAATTCCCTTCTCTTTGGCTTCTCAGTCTGGGCACTGTTTAACTAGCTGGTGGCACAGTTGCATCTGGGTTGGCAGGGACTCAGGAGCAGCTGGCCTGGTTCACTTCCAGCCACCACCTGCAGGAAGGTCCTTTGGGTTTGCTCCCTCCCATTAGGGAGGGCACTTGCCCCTCAGAGTTGCAATTCCAAGGGGGGAACAGCAGGGGAGGAGCAAATGGTGCTCCCCTCATGCCTCACCCTCTTCCCTGAAGCCTGGGAACACATGCCCTTTCATTTCAGATTCAGATTTGGCTGGTTGGTCCTCCAACCCGCCATTCTGAAAAACTCTAATTTCCCTGGCAGATCCTAGGCCACCCCCAATTTTACAGATGAGGAAAGAGAACAAAAGTAACCTGACTTAAGACCACATAGGTAGGAAGTGACCAGTCTATGAAAAGAATGAATCATGAGGTCTATGACAAGAATCCAGGTTATTTTGATGCCAAATCCCAGGTTCTTTCCATAATACCATGTTGCATCACAGAGAGCAATTTGACATGTGTCTGAAGGGTAGGGACAGTGAGTGGGCAGCAAATCAGTCATGTGCCAGAAGAATCAGAAGAGCTCTAGGCTCCTAGATACCCTCACCTGTAGTATGATGTCCTAGGGAGGTCTTAAGTGCTTAGGGTGGGATGTAGGGAATCTCTTCCTCCTTCTTCACAGCTCATTCCTTCTTGAGTTTCAATTGCAGATAAAGTTCTCCCTAAACCCTGCAGAGCCCCAGGCAGAGCTGGAAGGATCTTATAGACCATCTAGTTCCATCCCCTTGTTTTCCAAAGAAGGAAACTGAGGTTCAGAAAGAGAAAATGTCTTACCTAAGGGAGTAAGTTTCTGAACTCTGGACTCTTTCCACAAACTACTTACTTACTCATCTCCAATTGTGTGTGTGTGTGTCTGTGTGTGTGTGTGTGTGTGTGTGTGTGTGTGTGTGTCCTTGGCCAGACCACTCAGCCTAAATAACTTCTTCTGAGGATTGATCTGCCACCCTAGGGTTTTCCAGGGAGCTGGAGTTCAATGGCTCATCATAGGAACTCCACCAGCACTGCCAAATAAGACCACAGGAGGTAGTAGTCTGTGGGCAAAAGAGATTTGGAGTCAGGAGACCTGGATTCAAATCCTGACTCTGCCCACTTCCTGCCCATATGGTACTCCCTTTCTCTGGATTTCAGTTTGCTCATGAGGGAGTCGGTCTGTAGGATCCCTTCCAGCTCCAAATCCTAGGACAAGGAGGCTTGCTGGAGACAGTATCCAGTGGCAGTCACAAGGCAGACAAATCCCTGGAGTTGAGCTAAGCCCTGAGGATTCGTAACCTGCCTTTAAGATGACCCCTAAGCCCAGGTCCAGTCTGGAAAGGCCAAGAAGTTGCTCTGCACAAGCCAGATATCTGCTCGTCTTCCTGATCTCATTTTCTGCAAACAATACATTGGTCTAGGGCCAGGCATTGGAAGCAGTTCAGAGCCGGCTGAAGGTCCCTCAGGTGGTCCCTTGTGGGGACAGTAGCTGGGCAGGAGAGGTGTAGACTATTAAGAGGGGAAGAAGAATAGCTGGGGAGGAGTCCACCTTCAGGGCCACCTCCTCAGGGAAGTCTTCCCTAACTGTAGCACACATAACTCTGTTCTAAGAAGACCAATTCAACTCACCAAACATTAAGGCTCTACTGTATGCTTAATGTGCTCAGTGCTGGGGAT